GGCGCGCCGCTCGCGGGGCCCGGCCGCCGAACTGACCGCCCCGCGCGCCGCCAACTTTTAAATCTCGAGGACACGTGGGCTGAGGCGGCGCGGTCCCCGCGCGCGTCACCTCGCCGCCCGCCGCCCCCGGCCTCCCTCTCGTCACTCAGGACCCGCTGCCCGCCCCCGCCCCTGTCCCTCCCCGCAGCGGAACCCGCGCCCCCTGGCCGGAGTTTCCGACTCAGCCTCACACGCCTTTTCGCTCTCCCCGCCCTAGGGACCCTGGGATACAGGAGAATGGAATTAAAGCAATGAGGTCCATTTCCTTCTTCGGAAGGATTCCAGTGGGACCCAGGGGGGCATGGCACACCAGGCGGTCCGAAGAGGCTGGGACCCGGGTTTTTTAACTTGGTAGCGGCGACGCTCCCTCGTATCTTGCGCCTGCCTGGGACGCGCCTTCTTCACCCTCCCGGGACCGGGCGGTGCCTCATCTCCCGGAGCTCCAGGAGCCTCCTCTGTCGAAGCACGTCTGTTCTGTTCACTCGTTTATCCCCACTCCTAGCACAATGCCCGGTGTATGTTAAAGCAATACTGGTTCAACGGTGATGTTGATGTTCCCCCAATTCCTGCAAGGTCTGAGACCATTTAGAGAAATGCATTTGTCTGTTAATGCAGGTCAAGAAGAAAGGACTGCGGGAAATTGACCACACATGCATTTCTAACAGGTCTAGAAGATCTATGGATTTCCAAGCTTAAGGTAACTCCGTTTTCTATGCATGTCTGCTGCTGTCGCCCTTAGCTGTTGCATTCTGATTTCTAGAATGACTTGACCTCTGCTACCCCTCTCCATACTTTCCTTCACTTCCTAAGTGGAAACCTCCAGGAAGCAGCCTCTTCTAGGAGCTAATACGGTTTTAATTTCTTTCTTCAAGAAAGAGGGAAGACCGATCTTATTTGACCTCCTTTTGAAAGGAACGCTGAGGAAAGGGTAAGAAAGAAGTACATTAACATTTCTTAAGGGACATCTGTAAGTCGGGCACTTTTTCCTATGCTATTTCATTTAATAGTCATAGCATCTCTGGGATGTAAACAAACGTATTATGATTCTCATTTGATGATGCTTAGAAACAATCTGGCCAAGGATATCAGCCATGTGAGAGAGCCACTGGCCATTCTACTCTTTGAAGATGCTTCTCCCCAAATCAGGGCTTTTAATGTATCAGGCAAGCATTGTGCAACCCACTATAAGCAAGGCATGCCCTTAAGGATACAACATCTAGCAAACCCATACTCAAAATAGATTGGGATAGGAAGGCAGATTGGGATAGTGCTCTGTCAGACATACAGAGAGAGGCAGGAGTATAACCCTGACAGATCAAGTGAAAAAATAATGGCTACCATTTTTAAGTTCTTTATATACACGAAGCATGTGAGCAAGGCCAGATTATAGAGTCTGGTTCAGGTTCAAGCATGGAAGAGATTTGATATAAGATTGCTTGTACTTGGATTTATTCCCAAAGTAGTAAAAAAAAAAGTAGTGCAAAGCATGTAAATGAAATAAGGATGTAGGTGGGTAGGGGTGGTTCTGGTTCTGCATTGCCTTCCCTGTGTCTTTGGAGGGGCACTGAAAGATCACTAGTCTTAGCAGCTATGCGGGGTGAGATGTCAGTGAGAACAGAGGAGCCTGAAAATGCTGGGCTCAATGCTTTTTATATCCCCAGCAGGTCAGCAAAAGAAACAACTCATGCATTATGAGTATTTTTTTGCATGAAGCAGGCTGCTCTGAATGTTCTTTGCATGTCCCTTGGTGCACATGTGCAAGAGTTTTCTGAGGTATATAGCTAAGAGTAGAGTTATTAGGTCATAGAGGATAATCTAGTTAAACTCTAATTTGTTTTCCAATGTGTTGTAGCAATTTACACTGCACCATCAGTGTGTAAGTTTCCATTGCTGCACATCCTTGCAAAAATCTTTGCTAATCTGGTGAGTGTGGCATCTCATTGTGGATTTAATTTGCAATTCCCAGTACTAATGACGTTGAGTGTCGTTTCACAAATGTATTGGCCATTATTGCTTTCTCTTCAGTGAAATGGCCATTTATCACTTTTGCCCATTTTTCCCCATTGGGTTGTTAGTTTTCTTCTTACCCATTATAGGAGTGCTTTATGTATTCTGGAACTTGTTGGTTATGCATGGCAAATATTTCCTCCCTATTTATGGCTTTTCCTTTACTCTCTGCATGTGAGTTGTTATTTTTGAAGAAATGTTTAAGAAAAGACTTGCAGACTAATGGTCATGCCATCATGTGACCTGGATGATACCTGTCACCTGTTATCTCTTGCATTCTTGACCATAAATTGCCAACTGGACTACAGCCTATAAAAATGAAGGCTCATTTAGATCATGGACCTGCAGATTAGCAAGACCTGCTAGCTTGTGATGGGGATGTCTAGAAAAGTCATCATGGAGGGCTTTAGGAAGGAGAGCATGGTTGAATGTCAGGAGAATGGGAGAGTCAGCAATAGACAGAAATCCAGTCAGGCAGCACTTGGCAATAGCAAAGTCTAGTAATAAAGAGACCCAGCTTTAGGAACTGAGAGTAGGGGCAAGATCTGGAACATTTAGGAGGTCTAGGCAAGAGAGTCACGCATTCCTTCAAATATTAATTGAGCACTTTCTAGATTCCATTCTAGAAGCTTGGAATACAGCGTTGACCAAGTCATTCAATTAAAGAGTCTGCCTTCATTTTTAAGGAGAGGCAGATAATAAGTAAACAAAATAAAACAATTTCAAATAGTAGTAAATGCTATGAAGAAATTAAAACAGGGTAATGAAATAATAGAAAGTGACTGGGAGTTATGGAAAGATACACGACACAGGATTATCTAGGCTCACCTCTCTGAGGAGATGATATGCAAGGACTGAAAGATGAGAAGAAACCAGACAGGAGAAGAACTGTGAAAAAAGAGGCCCAGGCAAAAGGACCATCAAGTGCAAAGGCCCTGAGGTAGAAACAAGCCTGAAAGCTTCAAGGAGCAGAAGGAAGTCAGTGTAACTGGCATAGAGTGACTGGAATGTGGGGAGCTGAGGTCAGAGAAGTAGGCAGGGTAGGGTCCTGATCACTGAAGGGTCTTGGAGGACATGGCAAGGAGTTCAAATATTTCTCCAAGTAAAATGTGAAGCCTTGGGAGGATTTTAAGTAGCGGAGTGAGATGATCTGATTTAGATTTGAAAAAGATCACTCTGGCTTCAGTGGTGAGCAGGCTGTGGGGGACCCCAGTAGAAGCAAGGAGACTAGGTGGGAGGACATTGCAGAAGTCCACACCAGAGCCATGAAAAGGAATAAAGTACTGATACATGCTACAACATGTATGAACCTTGAAAGCATGATGCTAAGTGAAAGAAGCCAGACACAAAAGGCTGCATATTATATGATTCCACTTATATGTAATATTCAGAATAAGCAACTCCATAGAGAGAGAAGATAGATTAGTGGTTTCCAGAGTCTGGGGAGAGAGGGGAGTGATGGCTAATAAGTCCCAGCGTTTCCTTTTAGGGTTATGAAAATGTTCTGGAATCATTAATGATGATGGTTGCACATTCTTGTGAATATACTAAAAACTATTGAATTCTACAATTTAAAAGGATGAATTTTATAGTATGTGAATTACATCCCAAATAAAAAAAAAAAAGAAAGAAGTCCAGACCAGATATGATGATGATGACCTGTTGGATTGTATGGTGGCAGACTTTGCTATTTAGCACAAGAAAAATTTGTCTATTTTTGGCATGAGATATCCAAATTTTGCTATTTAATCCCGGGATGTTCTTGGTAACTGTGAAATCCTCCTCTCCCACTTTGTGAAGGCATTCACCTAAGACATGTCTGTATCAATAACTATGCTATAGTCACTAGCTTTAATTTTTTCAGGGTAGAAAATACTTCATAAAAACCCAGATGGAGAATGTTGGTCTTTACAGTCACTTTAATATAACTAACTATGAATAGCTTCCTTATCTAAAAAATGGAAACATGGATACTATTTGTGAAATAATGATAACCTGTTACATCCAAATGCTTTATAGGATGCTCATTGATTCATTCAGGGAGCATTTATGAAGCCAGTGTCAGATGTAAGATGTATAGACTCAGAAAATGCTGAAAATTCTGTGTCCTCTTTTATCTTCTCTAAGACCACCTGCACCCTGTCATGCATCTTCCTAATTTCCTATTATTTACTGCCTATGCTCATGCAGGATGAACTATTTAGAAATACCACCCTAATTTCTTTTCTTTTTTTAATATTTATTTATTTATTTACTTATTTAGTGTGTGTGTGTGAGGAAGATCAGCCCTGAGCTAACATCTGCCAATCCTCCTCATTTTGCAGAGGAAGACTGGCCCTGAGCTAACATCCATGCCCATCTTCCTCCACTTTATATGGGACGCCGCCACAGCATGGCCTGACAAGCAGTGCGTCGATGTGCGCCCGGGATCCGAACCCCAGGCCACCAGCAGCGGAGCACGTGCACTTAACCGCTAAGCCACGGGGCCAGCCCTGTACCACCCTAATTTCAAATGTGAAATGTAAAGAAAAGTTTTTGCTTAAGAGTATCTCATACTGAAGAGTGAAAGTTCTCCTGAGGTTATGGAAGTTAAAAGCAAACTACTCCAGTAACCCAGTTTAGCCTATGGTCTCTAAGTAGAATTCAGGGTAGAAGCCAATTGTGGAGCTACAGAGCTGAGGCCCAAGAGGAGATGGTCGTCTGTGGTAATTACAGGAAAATAACCAAATGATTGGGGGTCTATTTGGTTCAGAAAATGGGTATCTATTATTTAGTGACAAGGATACCTTTCAGCTCTCTTCACAAACATCTTTGGCATCTGGATGAAATTCCCATTTTATAACTGAGTTTGCCTTCTCTTTGAACACTAATATTTCATAAGTTTTAAAGTAACTCCAATAATCCTAATTATTCCTTTTCCCACCTCTCTCTTCAAACGATGTAGATATCAACCTCTCTGCTTCCGGGAAAATCTCTTGACTCAGAAGGACTTTTGGATTGTACTGAAAAATCACCCCAGGAGAAACTCTTCTGAAAGACAACAAAAGAACAATGAATGCAAGAAATGGAGGACCACAGACCAAATACATCTGTGTTTCTTAAGACTTCCTGTTGTAGCATCATTAACTTTGCCCTGATAATGACACAGCAGCTCACATAATTGTAAGAAATACATCCTTTACAGGAGAGGGAAGCTTTGCTTATTTTGTCTAATTACTTGATAAAATTAATTTGAAACAGTTTATGGGAATAATAAGCAACATTATTAAAAGTCCTTCCCCTTGAAGTTGTTTTCAGAATTCATCCAATGCATATAGTGACTGTGGTGTCGACTGATGGGGAATAAAAGATTTGTGTGTCCAAGAGACATTCTGGCTGATGTTTTTTGCAAAAGCTAGGTTTCATCTCTTCAATCTTTTGAGGTCAGGAGGTGCTGTGGGTGGAGATACTATCCGTAAATTCTCTAAGCACAGGCCGGGGAAGGTTGACATGCAGACTGAAAACAGCCCAGGTTTATCTGAGAAAGCCTTCAGAGATAAATTCCTTTTGAGAAAAATTATAAGAGAATATTTTAAAAAGCACAAGTCAATAACTTTTTGCAGTGACATTGATGCCCACAAGGCTAGATTTTCACATGATATATATTCTGAGGGTAAAACCATTATAGAAAAGCAGCACTGTTATTGCCAATTTGAAACATGACATTGAAAAAATTCCAGTTCACTGAAGGCAGAATCTTTTCTTTGTTCTTTAAATTGCAATTAAAATATTAATGCATACTAATGAAAGATTTATTAGATTTTGACATATTTATGAATCACATCAGGGCAAAGCTGGCAGAAAAACAAATACTTCCAGACATATGAGGTTTTATAGAAACAGAACCTAAAATTAAATGATAGCTATAAAAATACAAGACAGATAAATTTTATTATTTCTATGCAGTAAATTGTATAACCATTTTTTATCACTAGACTGATTTTCAGTCTATTTAAAAATGAATCAAATATTGTGTTTTCTAAAAACATCTGGTATTTATGAAAAAATACATGATCTCCTTACATAGACATGTTGAAATCAAAATTTTTATTGCATTTGGTCAAAGGTAATTGAAAGAAATGAGAAAAAAACGGTATAATTTGATTTTTTTTAAAAATGCTAAAATAATCAAAAGAGACCTGGAATGAGTTTCTGAATATAAAAATAAGTGACATTTGCTTAGTCTCATAAAAGGAGTAATCACTACTCATTTTATCTCTGGTGTCTCAAATAATTTTAGCTCTGATTTTTTAAGTGGACCATACAAATATGAAATGCTGAAAGTTGTATATATATGTATGTCATATTGCTCTAAATTAAATATTAGTTGATATTATTGTAAGAAATTTAAGAAATTTTTGAGGGGCTGGCCCCGTGGACTAGTGATTAGGTTTGGCGTGCTCTGCATTGGCGGCCGGGGTTTGGTTCCTGGGTGCAGATCTGCACCACTTGTCGGTGACCATGCTGTGGTGGTGACCCACATACAAAATAGGGGAAGGTTGGCACAGATGTTAGCTCAGGGTGAATCTTCCTCAGCAAAAAAAAATTGAGAAGGATACAATTAGCTAATGTTGAGTCTTTGTTCATCTGCAAAGTAATTAAATCCCTTTTTCTCAAAAATTAATCACAGCTCCTTCTTTTGTGTTTTCACCCATTAGTATAATTTCAGATGTAAACTACTTTCAATCTTACTGAGTTTCAACCCTAAATTAAGAGTTTTTAAAGAGCTTAAAGGGAAAAAGCAGAAATAGGCAAGATAATATACTTCTTAGAAAAAACTGAAAAATAAAATTAAGGCAATCACTGCCTTAACTGAGTTGGTTTCCAAGCAAGTCACTCCTGGTATCTCTGTCATGACATCCATATGTTTAATGTCTGTTGGTTCAACTGCCAACAATTGATTTGTGGCAATTGTAGTTGATCAATCAAAATCAACTTCAACTTCTTTTTCTCACCCTTTTATCCTCCCGTATGTTTATTCCCTTTAAAAATATATCAAGGAATTGCCTCCAACTCCTATCCTATCCCATCATGTCATTATTACTCCATCTTATAATAGAGACTTTCAGAAGTATTGAGTTAATTCTATATTGGGCAAAGCATTCAAGGCAGATAATATGTTACCTTATTGATGACATCTTCCTTCCCCAATCACTTGATAATAAATAGCACGCTTCTGCCTCTCAGCACTTCCTATCTCCTTTATACGGCTTTATTTTTTCTCCTTAGCGCTTATTACCACCTGATATACCATACTAGATAGCTCTATCTATATAGTTGTTGGTTTGTTTATTATCTGTCTCCCTTTACTAGAAAGAGAACTCCAAGTCAGGTTTTCAATCTTTTTTTATTATTTTAAAAACACATTTTAGGGGCCGGCCCAGTGGTGTAGTGGTTAAGTTCACACGCTCTGCTTCGGCGGCATGGGGTTCGCAGGTTCAGATCCCGGGCGCGGACCTACGCACCACTTATCAAGCCATGCTGTGGCAGACGTCCCACATATAAAAAGTAGAGAAAGATGGGCACGGATGTTAGCCCAGAGCCAATCTTCCTCAGCAAAAAGAGATGTTAGCTCAGGGCTAATCTTCCTCACCAAAAAAACCCACAAAAAACACATTTTATATTCACTTTCATATTGTTCTATTATCTCAAGTTGTTGGTATTGTTAAGAGTCCTTGGCATATAGTGGGCACTAAAAATATATACAAATGAATATGGGAAATAAATAATCTGATTTATTTGTAATATTATACAAACTTTAAGCATATATCTACTTATAAATGTTGATAACACCCTTAAATTATATGAGAATGATGAGGTGATCTTTTGCTGTATAAAGCATTGCTTAGAATCTTCCTGGCTTCTATTTCCTATTCTGTTCTACTCAGTTTGGGAGACTTCAGAACCTGGAAGTGACAAAGAAGAGAGTCAATAACCATATGGTAGAAAATAAAAACAAATATAAAAATAATGTTAGGAACTGGGATTATCTATCCAAGAGAGCAAGAATTCTTAGAGGCAGTATGACCTCATGACTGAGAACTTGAGCAGTGGAGCTGGACAACATGGTCTGAGTCATGGTAACACCATCTACTAGCTGGAAGACCTTGAATAACAATTGACCTTTGATAGATCCAGTTTTTATTAATTTTAAAATGGGACTGTATAATTTTTTTGCCTGCACAACATCTCTTCCTTTGGAAAACTAATTCATCCCTCTTTTGTAAGAATCTCACACAATTCAAGGATCAGTCTTTGGATTTGTGCAGGGACTATGGTGAAGGCCTCCTCTTTCTCTGTGAGTCTAACATATAAGGACCATGTGGGTTACATGAAGGGAGGCTGTCTTAGAATGACACCAGGTAGCAATGAGGGATAGAGAAAGAGAGAGAGAGAGAAGAGATTGAAATTCCTATACTTGCTGACATTCAGCCATGCCTGAAGGCAGGTCCATCCTTTGGAATTCAAAGTTAGGTAAATCAAAATTTTCTGTTTTTATTTTAAGTTGGGTTTCTGAAATTTGCAGTAGTGACTGGCACAAAACAAGTGCACAATATGTTTTACTATGTTGGTGATGATAAGCAAATGGAAGAGAAGTCTTCAAACAGAAGAGAGAGTGTTGAAAACTTTTAAAGTTTTACTTCTTTTTTTTGTATTTCATAATGAAGAGTGGCAATGTCTAGAATAGGGAGAACAGACATGAAAAAGAGGAGAATTCATTTTCTTCCATGAAACTTTCAAGACCTAGACTCATCAATTCTTCAGGAAGGCGGGAGGAAATGGGACAAATTACTACAATGGTCTTTTATCATTCAGACTTTTCAATAAACACACAATCCAAGCTCTCAGAAACTTTTTATTTTGAAATAATTATAGATTCACAAGAAGTTGCCACAAAAAATGTACAGAGAGGCCCTATGTGTCCTTTGCTTAGTTTTCTCCAAAAGTAACATCTTGCATAACTACAGTACAATATCAAACTGGAAAGTGACATTGGTACAATCCACAGAGCTTATTCAGATTTCACCAGTTTTACATGTACTTATATGTGTGTGTGTATAGTTCTATGCAATTTTATCAAATACATAGATTCTTGTAACCACCACCACAATCAAGACATAGAACAATTCTATCACCACAAGACTCCCTTATGCTACCCTTTTATAGCCATACCCACCCCCCTCTCCTCATCCCTAACCCTAGCAACCATCTGTTCTTCCTTTCTATTATTTTATTTTAAGGATGTTATATAAATGGAATCATATAATGTGTTACCTTTGGAGAACAGCTTTTTTTCACTCAGCATAATTCCTTTGAGATCTATCTAAGTTGTGTGTATCAATAGTTTGTTCCTTTTTATTGTATTCCATTTAACCATTCATATGTTGAAGGACATACAGTTTTGGGCTATTATCAATAAGGCTGCTATGAACATTTGTGTACAGGTTTTTGTGTTGACATAAGTTTTCACTTCTCTGGGATAAATGCCCAAGAGTGCAATTGCTGGGTCATATGGTAAATGTTTATTTTACTTTTATAAGAGATTGACAAACTATTTTCTAGAGTGGCTGTACCATATTACTTTCCCATCAGCAATGAGTGATCCAGTTTCTCTGTATTCTTTCCAGCATTTGCTGTTATCATTATGTTTTATTTTAGCCATTCTGATGGGTGTATAGTGGTATCTCACTGTGATTTTAGTGTGCATTTCCCTAATAGCTATTGATGTTGGACATCTTTTCATTTTCTTGTTTGCCATCTGTATGTCCT